CAGGCAGGACTGGCCTAGGGGGTATTTTAATTGGTTTTAATAAAATTTTAATAGAGCGGCCAATTCAAATATTTATTTTTAATTATTTTAGATTTGTATTAGGTATTATGTGGGATTGTTTTAAACTGGCTGTAAGCCGCCCTGAGTCCTCCGGGAGAAGGGCGGGGTATAAATGAAATAAATAAATAAATAAATAAATTAGAGAGGTCTAACCCAAATCTATGCAGGAATGGTTCCTTTTTATCCTATATATATCAATCTGCACAAGCCGAGGGCAAGTGTGTGAAGCTTCATTTGTGCATGCACGGGATTGAGTTGTGAGCCCGAAACCATCCCCTTCCCCCTGCTGCCATCATTGCCAGTCTATGGAGTAAGAAAGATTGGAGACCCCTGCTACACATTACACAGCAAGCCAAATTTAGACAGCGGAATACCCGTAAACAGCTAGTATCTGTTTGCAATTAAAAATGTATTAAAACCACTTATACTAAAACTAACTAACTAAATAAACAAAAAATCCTAGTGCCATAGCTAAACTTTCACATGCAGACCACAAGTTTCATCTGATCCATCTCACCCTCACCTTGTGCTTGCAAGAAAAGCCAGATCTTAAGTGCTTTTTGGAAGGTTAAAAGAGTGGGGGGAGGTTTGCTGCCAAATATCAGGGGATAGGGTAATCCATAGGGCAGTGGCTGACATGGAAAAGGCACACTTCCTAGATTCCATAAGATGGCACCATATAAAAGAAGAGGCTAGGAGCATGTCCAACCTGTTTTTCATCTGAGAAAATGGGCACATATCCTTAAGGAGAGGGAGGTCCTGCAGATAAACTGGTCCCATGTTTTACAGTTTTAAAGTTAAGCTTGAATTGCACCCAGAAAGAAACAGTGAGCCAGTGCAACTTGTGCAAGTGATGTGTAATATGAGTAAATCTGGGGACAGACATCACTATCCATGCATTTTGACCAGTTGTAGCTTCCAGGTAGTCTTCAAAGGCAGCCCGATGTACAGTATGTTGCAGGAAAGGGCACAACTGGCACCTAAGACAGATCTGTGCAAAGCTGTCAGAGTAAAAAATGAAATATCACCCACGCTGGAGGAACCAAAAAACCCAGAGCCACTCTGATTTGCCAGGGTTGCCATCCAGTCCCGGAGACCCTATGCGCACTCAGCCAGACTGCAATAGCATTCATCTGTCCATCTAGTGGTGGAAATGAATAACTGAATATCATCAGCATTCTAATGATACTGCACCCCATGCCATCAGATTATTTCCTCCAGCAATTTCATGTAGGTATTAAAGAGGCGAGTCAAAATACTGAAGCGCTGAGGCACATCCTTCATTGACCTCTCCTTCTCTATCAACACTGACTGTAACCAGAAAGTAGAAAGTAGAACCACCACACAAAGTGTCTCCCACTCCCAACCACCAAAGCTGGTCCAGAAGAACACCATGGTCAATGGCACTGACAGCTCCTAAGAGGCCAGGGAGGCCAGAATGGTTGCATCACCCCGATCCCAAGCTCTCCTAAAGTCATCTACACGCACAAGGCTTTTAAGGAAAAAAGTTATGAGACCAATAAAAAAATAATAGACGAAAGGCCTTAAAAGCAATTATCTTCAATGTTCAATGTATAAATGTCCAGGTTGTAATCAACAGTTGTGAGAAATGGATGGAAGAGAAGGGAAAGGGAGAACGTGTCACTAGAAAGTTATCCTTTAGTGTTTTTATTTATGCTTCTTACTTGTTTCTCTGTTTTATTTCACTATCACTATCAAATTAGACTTTTCTTTCTCTTTGCTAACAATAAAAAAATCTTTTTTAAAAAAGAGAAATAGTAGTGATCTACTCTCAAACCTCTAATCTTCCTCAATTTGGTATACTCCAGCTTTGCTAGATTACAAGTACTTTCTTATCTTATCCAGTTACAGCAATCTGGCACAGGTCTAGATTTGACGGGGTTTACACTTAAGTCTATCCATAAACTAGGTAAGAGCAAGGTAGGTGAATGCCCAGTTTAGACTGTTTCCTTGGTTAATCTGTTTTTACAGATTCCTTTATTATCTTGTGTAAGGTCAATCGCGTTTAACCAATGGCAAAAAAGTACACTTGCTAACATAATTATATTAAAAGCTTTACAATAAACAATTTAAATTATCAGTTACATGTCTAAAATGTTTCCATTGCTCCTCAACAGGATATGAAGATAAATCTCTTTTGTTATGCCTTATAAAAACCTTTTTGGATTCTTTTTTGTGTGGCAGTAACCCAGCTGAATTTGCTTTTAACAAAGTTACAGAGAAACCTTTGAAGATGTGTCTAATGGAAAATTAATAATACCAAACATGTGTCCTTCAATGTCAAACTCCACTGCCAATCTATACACATAATAAGTGGCTCAGGAGAAGCAATGTTTGTAGAGCAAACTTTGACACTTAAGCACACCCAGCAGTGGTATTCTCCATATCTAATGAGTGTATATGAATGCCTAGCATATGTCCTATATGCTACACAACTTACAGAAGAGGTGGCATCTGTCTCAGAAAGCAAAATCCCAAGATATTTCCATGTTTAGGACAAATATCCCAAGATATTTCCATGTTTATCAGCATAGCCCAAAGGACCATGTTACCATCCTCTGGCATTGACTGGAGACAATTAAGACAGTTGCTTCTTTGGGTGTTTTCCCCCCCCCCCCCCCGTTTCTTCTGCAGACTTTTGGTTTCCAAACAGTCCTTCTCTGTGGGCTCACATGGCCCTCCCCATTCTTGCATTCTTTGATCCACTTTCCCCCCACAGGCAGAAGAAAGGGAAAGTGTTTCCAGATGAACTGTCTTTGTTTGGCTTGGTCTTATTTACACTTCAGGGGGTTTGAATGCTCTTTTCTTGATGGAGAAAAACTTTACTGGAGAACTCTGAACTACTCTGAAAGCATTATAACCAGCATCAAAATGAAATGTTTTACAACCATCATTGCTATTCAGTGAAGAAAAAAACACTTTCAATCTAACACTTTCGTGAATCCATCAGCATTTTCTAATGCAAGAATATATTCAATTCTCAATAGAAACATTTATAAGTTAGCAATTTAACACAATGAAGTAAAAAAAGCAAATAAAACAAGGGGGGGGGAAACCCCTACTGAATGTATAGACCTGGGAGAGAACATTAAGAAAAAAAAATTATATTATTGTTGTGTAATTGGTGGTTAAGTAACACTTTCCTACCTGCTGAACTTCACTTTCTCCGTTTGAGATTTTTTCTGTGTACACAAAGGAGTTGAATATCCGCTGCAACAAAATTAAGAAAGACCACTTAGACATCAAGGCACAATAATCATGGTTTTAACATATTCAGAATAAAAAGCAGCTGGACTGAGTACGGGTATCATAAGGCAAAAGATTAAAGTTTAAAAGAATTATCATAATAGAGAATGAAAAACCACACCAGTTTCATTTAGACACACATATGCTTCCTTAATTAAATTAAACATGTTTGTGTTTTTGTGGAAAAAGACTAGGATATTGCATCCAGAGTGCCTGCTATTGCGTCCAAATGGTATAAATTTTAAAAAGCTATGCTTTACATCTGATTTTGCCCAAGTATATTAATTGTTTACATATACATTTAATTCAATGCAGCTTTTTAAAAATGCCTTCCCTCTTCCAATCTCTTTGCTTTCAGGTTTTCTTCCCTGTTAATCTCAATTCATTAGGAACCAGTCTAGACTTCTAAATTGCTTTTATTTGATATCAAGTAAAGGCCCCTATGGATATTTGCAGTGGTGGGATTCAAATATGTGGATGCTGCTTCCGGAAGTCCATTCTGGGCCTGGGCAACAAAAAATTAGCTACCGGTTCTGCCGAACTGGTGTGAACTGGCTGAATCCCACCACTGGATATTTGCCATGATGGGAAGGGATAGGCTTATACTTTCTTCTCCCAGTGCTGATGTTCACATGAAGTACCGTCACAGAGATAATGCATCACCCAAGTTTTAAACAAGGAACAATGCAGTTATTGCATTGATTACCACTTTCATATTGCTCTGCATTTTTTTTAACCAATTCAATTCCTTTCACACTTTTCCTTTTTTCTCTAGGTCAGTACCATATAAGGAATATAAAGTAAAAATTTAAAAACAGTTTTTATTAAATTATTCCTCTGGGAGGTCAAGGATGGCATTTGTAGTCTTCCCTCCTTTTATACCCCCATATCTGAAAGGTAAATTGGATTCAGGGTGAATGGAGACTTGAAGCTGGAACTATCCAATAGCTTATATCAGTGATGGCGAACCTTTTAGAGACCGAGTGCCCCAAAACCGCCCCCCCGCAGGGCCACCCACCGCCTCCACGGTCCGCCACAGATCACTCTGGCGGCCCAGCAGCGCCATGGTGGCCACGCCCTCCGCCTGCACCTCGCAGCAGCATCTGCACACAACGGGGTACAGGGGCGGAGTCTTGTCCCCGCTGCCCGGCTGCCATGTTCTTGGCTGTGCTGCTTTACGTGGGCCATGCTCGGGAGTGGCTCTCCTCCAGGGGGGTTGCTGGTGAGGAGGGGGCCACAGGGGGAGGCGGGGCTGGGGTGACGGCGCACATGCCCACAGAGAGGGCTCTGAGTGCCGCCTCTGGCATGCGTGCCATAGGTTTGCCACCACTGGCTTATATTAATCATTATATCTTTATTTATATTTCACTAGAATAAAAGAAAGACACCATCTTATTTCTTAGGCCAAACTAATAAGATAGAGATAAGAAATTGCTCACTATTCAAGCATATCCTTGAACCAGAAACTTCCTAATTTAACTCTGAGTTATGCTCTCAGGAGCATTCAAATAGCACTGTAAAGGCGAGGAGAAAGTTGTCCTTATGCTCTTGTCCCTTCTTTGCCGCATGCCTTCAACCAACCTGGGACCCAAAAGAAGATGCAGACGAGAAACTGCGTGGATAGAAAGAAGCTGCTGGGGAACTTTCAACCTCCTTTTGTCCCACCTGAATTTAATTGCTGGGGATTAGGAGAAGCCCAGGTGGCTGTTTAAAGTGCAGTATTGCAGGCAAACTCCGCCCACAGCCTGGAGTTCAATCCTGACAGGGCTCAAGGTTGACTCAGCCTTCCATCACTCCCAGATCAATAAAATGATGCTTTACATCAGTGGTTCTCAACCTGTGGTCCGTGTATCCCTGGGAGTCTGCGATGTCATAGGGGGTCTGCGAAGGTTTGAAGAAATGTTATAATTTAAATTTTGAGTTAAGTCTTGGGGTCCATGGATCATGGCCACAAAAGTTATTTAAAGTGGGTCCATGGTGAAGAAAAGATTGAGAAACACTGTTTTACATTGTAAACTGGCTATAAAGCAGTGCTTCTCAACCCGTAGTACGCGTACCACTGGTGGTACTTCGGCACCTGGCAGGTGGTACACATACGACGGGTTGAAAAGCACTGTAAAAAGAAAAAAGTATTAAAAAGGTGTAAAAGTGTAGCAGGGGATGAGCTGAAGCGGCAGCAACACTGCATAGGCCTGTGGGAAGAGTCAGCTGGAGCTATGGTGTTGCCGGGACTCTGCTGAGCACCCAGGATTGCCGCAGGGCTCCAGCTGATTGGCGCTTCCAGAAGCAGCATGCAGTCTTGAGGAAAAGGCACCAGCTACACCGAAGAGAAAAGGAGGAAGAGGGGGAGAGAGGAGAGGATATAAAAGGAGGATATGGAGGGAAAGAGAGAGAGAAAAAACTGATGGAGAAAAACAAGGGGACGGAATAAGAAAGACAAAGAAGAGGAGAGGCTTCTTTGAGTCAACCAGAAGGAGAGAAGGGGATAGAACAGTGCAAAGATTAATGTCAGAGAAATAAGCCCAAGTTTCCCATTAAAAGTTGTGGTGAGTGAGTGTACAGATAGTCCTCAACCTACAACCACAACTGAGCCCAAAATTTATGTTGCTAATTGAGGAATTTGGTAAATGAGTTTTGTCCCATTTTATGACTTTTCTTCCCACATTTGTTAAGTGAATCGCTGCTGTTGATAAGTTAGTAACCTGGTTGTTAAGTGAATCTGGCTTCCCCATTGACTTTGCTTGTCAGAAGGTTGCAAAAGTGGATCACATGACCCTGGGACACTGTGCTCATCATAAATATGAATCAGTTGCCAAGCATCTGAATGTAAATCACATGACCCTAGGGATGATGCAACAGTCATAAATGTGAAAAATGGTCATAAGTCGCTTTTTTCAGTGCCGTTATAACTTTGAACAGTCACTAAGCAAACTGTTGTAAGTTGAGGACTACCTGTACTTCATCACTTTTTTTCTTTCTTTTTTTTGGGGGGGGGTCATCGAGTTTTTGAACACCTTGCTAAGCGACTGGTAGTACTCGAATATTGCCTAATCCTAAAAGTGGAACAATCAGTGAAAAGGTTGAAAAGCACTGCTATAAAGCACTATGGGGTGGTATAGAAGCCCAGATGTTCTTGCTATCAGAGCCTCATCCCATCTAGGAGGTACCTTAGGGTCCAGACAGCAGTATCTAAGCCAGTGATGGCGAACCTTTTAGAGACCGAGTGCCCAAAAAACCGCATCGCTGCTGCCCCGCCTCACCTGTTCTGTCCGCAGGGCCACCCACTGCCTCCACGGCCTGCCACAGCAGATCACCCAGGTGGCCCAGTAGCATCATAGTGGCCACGCCCTTTGTCCGCACCCTGCATCATCTGCGCGCGATGGGGCGCGAGGGCAGAGTCTTGTCCTTGCTGCCCAGCTGCCATGTCCTTCGCTGCGCTGCTCTACGCAGACTGCTCCTGGGGCGACTCTCCTCTGGGGGGGCTGCTGGTGAGGGGGAGCCACAGGGGGTGGCGGGGCTGGGGCGATGGCGTGTATGCCCACAGAGAGGACTCTGAGTGCCGCCTTTGGCACACGTGCCATAGATTTGCCACCACTGATCTAGGCCAAAATGGGAGTGCAAACACTTGCCCTTCAGTCCATGCCTATTAAGAACCTTTGGCAGCAACTTAAAAAGAGATTGGTTGTTTACAAACCAAGAAAAGAGCAATGCCTTTGATTCTTGGGGGGGGGCAGACAAGACCTCATATACTGTATTGCTCCAAACAGCTAATTAATTTTCTTCTTCCCTATGGGAAATGCAAATATAGGAAGGCTTGGTTATCTGCTGTCTGTTCTGTTTGTAACCTCTTTCATGTTAATGGATTGACTAAATCTAAGGCCAATGGGCAAATCTAAAGATTATATATATAATCTTTAATGTTATTATTATTAGTATATATATATATATATATATATATATATATATATATATATATATATATATATATATATATATATATTCTGAGGTTTTCGCGGGTGTTTGTATGTAGGTCTTTAGTTATTCGGGTTTTCTCCCGCGTAAAATTGGAAGTATCTTTTCTTCTTCCCTATGGGAAATGCAAATATAGGAAGGCTTGGTTATCTGCTGTCTGTTCTGTTTGTAACCTCTTTCATGTTAATGGATTGACTAAATCTAAGGCCAATGGGCAAATCTAAAGATTATATATATAATCTTTAATGTTATTATTATTAGTATATATATATATATATATATATATATATATATTCTGAGGTTTTCGCGGGTGTTTGTATGTAGGTCTTTAGTTATTCGGGTTTTCTCCCGCGTAAAATTGGAAGTATCTTGGCGACGCCAAGACACTTCTAATTCTACGCGGGAGAAAACCCGAATAACTAAAGACATATATATATATTCTGAGGTTTTCGCGGGTGTTTGTATGTAGGTCTTTGGTTATTCGGGTTTTCTCCCGCGTAAAATTGGAAGTATCTTGGCAACGTTTCGACGAAGTCCCATTCGTCATCTTCAGGCTGGTGTTTTCAGCTTCGTGCTTCTAGGAGTAATGTGTGATCGCAGCTGCACTTCCAATTTTACGCGGGAGAAAACCCGAATAACCAAAGACCTACATGTATGTATGTATGTATGTATGTATGTATGTATGTATGTATGTATGTATGTATATAATGTATATGTATATGTGTATATGTGTATATGTATATATAAAAACTCATATATACATTGAATAACAAGATATTTCTTTCAAATCTTGTTTTTCCTAAGTTTTTGAAATGCTTATTCACTATGAAATAAGTAATTATTTTCCTTCCACTTCATTTTCAATAAAGATGTAGACACGAATTTATTTTTATTCTTTATCATTCCATATCATGAAAGCATTATTCTAGATGAACCAGTTCTAAAACAAGCATATAAACTTACCGAAATCTTTAAATTCTTTTAGCATAAACAAACAAATAAATCACAAAGGAAAAATACAACTTCTGAGAGTTATTATCCAAAATAGGTGGTACATGTTTTATTAAATACAATTAATTTGAATTATTTATAATTATCAAACAAATAGCATAAACTGTGGGGTCTTTGGTGCTCTCAGAGCTTGGCTGTTTTCTTGCAAACATTTTATTACCAAACTAGCTGACAACATCAGTACTGTTCGTAGTTCAACCCTGAGCTAGAAATATTCTCTTCTAAACAGCATAAACACTTATATTCTATCTTATGGGAAAACACATACTGACACTGTTCATGCAATGCACATCTTAGTTAAATCATGTCCTTTCTTCTATTCAGTGAGTTTGCAGGTGTATATGAAAAAACATATATTAAGCCTATCTAGTATTTAATTCTGTACAATAAAAATATATCTTCTGTCTGAAGTTTAAAATTAAGTTTATAGAAAACATTACTGCAAAATAGATTTTCTAATTTTACTCGTTTAGAATGAACACATGTTCTTGTTCAAAAATACAAAGTGAGTTATGCCAACAGATGAAAACACAATGTACATCACTATTAAAAGCACAATTAAAATATCAAGATAGAACTGATAATGAAAATTAAAGAAGTATGGGATGGAAAATCAGTGGAAAAGAATATTTAGTAGGGAAATGGACATGGATCAAATCTCTGTAAAGATTTTGTTCTTTTCTATAGATTGTCTTGATTAAGTTCTCCAGCTCTCAAGACAAGGAAGCAAGTATTATATATATATAAAACATCAAATCAAATGAAGATATAAAAAGCAGATTGGCAAGGCAATTTTCCCCCGCAGTCTTTCAGCCATTATTCAGAGCAGAAAACACAATTTACTGTGAAATAATCTTATATTTGTTCCACTGAGCTGATGATTGTCACTTTCCCTGATTTCTTTTCCTCTTGGGGATTTCAGGAATTTTAGAAATTTGAACTCTTGATTTCACGGCCACCCTTGAAGAGGGCACCACTAAATCTTCCTGAGTTTTCAGGTTTCAGTGAGCTTAAAGGGATTAAAAACGTAAAATACAACTATTTTAAATGAGCAACAGTCAAGTCTCCTCTCATTCTACAGCT